CCTTCAAGGTCACGGAAGCCCAGAGCAGGAGAGCCTTCCCTGCCACACCCTTCGCCAGACTTGCTGGCCTGGTTGGGGGCAGGTGGAAATGGGATGGAGGGGCAGACTCCCACCCAGCAGCCATCCCCTAGCCTCTCTGTCGCTGACATCTGGGGGTGGCCATGTGTGGCACAGAATGCCATGTGTTCATCATGCTGTTTCCTTTCCTGGGCAGGTTGCCCTCCCCAGACACCTTCACAGGAGGTGGGGCCCTGGGATTGGGTCCTGACCAGTAGGAATGTGAGATGCATTGCTTCCAGTCTGAAGCTAAAGACAGACCACTGCACCACTTTCATCTCTCTCTTTCCCTACTGCGATGACCAGGGAGGCCATATGTTCCACATGTATAACTGTAGGGTGAAAGAGGACCACCAGCCCACAAAGACTGGGAGACGAGCAAGAACCGCACTGAGTTAGGCCACTGAGATTTCAGGGCTTACTTGTAACCAGAGCCTAGCCTGGCCCATCCTAATAAGCTGTGTATCCATTGCTAGTCAATGACATGTAAGGGACATGTAGTACACGTGGAGTTTCTGTATAGATATTTTCCATTTCCAGTGCATGGACTTTCCAATAAAAAGAGAAAAGCAAGGCTGGGCACGGTGGCTCACGCCTGTAACCCTAGCACTCTGGGAGGCCGAGGCAGGCGGATTGTTTGACCTCAGGAGTTCGAGACCAGCCTGAGCGAGAGCGAGACCCCGTCTCTACTAAAAATAGAAAGAAATTAATTGGACAACTAAAAATATATAGGAAAAAATTAGCCAGGCATGGTGGCGCATGCCTGTAGTCCCAGCTACTTGGGAGGCTGAGGCAGAAGGATTGCTTGAACCCAGGAGTTTGAGATTGCTGTGAGCTAGGCTGACACCACGGCACTCTAGCCCGGGCAACACAGTGAGATTCTGTCTCAAAAAAAAAAAGAGAAAAGCATATAAAGAGTGCTCATTCATTACCCTGGCTATCTGTTTTCTTGGTTTTGAAGAAGTCTCATTAGAGTGTGATGTTTGGAACTGCAGCAGCGCTGATGTGAACATGAGGAGGGGACCAATAGAATTCTGGAGATGAGAGCCCAGAGCCCAACATTGTGAAATGCTGGTCTAAACTGGGAGTGGAGTATAATAAATGTCCTGATGGTATAAGTCTTTTATTTGCATTTGAAACACATCTGCACTGACACTAGCAGCAAATGAAGATGAGGAATGTGGTTATAACGGACATCCATTGTGTGTGTGTGCGTGTGTGTGTGTGTATACGCCACACATATATAAAGGCTAAAATGAATGGAGGTTCTTGGGGGCAGATAATGTCGCTCTGCTTGCTCTCTTTTGCTCTCTCCACCCCATCCACATTCATCCGTTGCTGAAAAATAAAAACAATCCCAGACAGTATTTCCCATCTGCAGTGTGCTTTCATGTTAAGGTGACAGAAGAGTGGTAGCATAATGTAGGGGTTAATAGCTCAGTTTCTAAAGGCAGACACAGTTGGGTCCACATTTTACTCTGCCACCCTCTTTGTTGTGTGACCTTGGCCAAGTTCTGTAAACATAGCTTTCTCATCTGTATAATGGCACAGTTATAGAAACTCCCATATACTATCACTGTGAGAACAAAATGACGTGACACGTATGAAGTGTTTCACAACACCTGGGACACTAAAAACACTTAATGCACAGGAGCCCCTGAAATAAAATGGACTTGGATTTTCATACACCCTAGGACGATCGCTGCGGCACCATGAACAGTCCTGGTTTGAAGTTGGGGAAACCGAAGCTTAGGGAGGTTAATTGACTGGCTCAAAGTCAGAACCAGAATTTCAACCCGGTGGTTCCCATTTCAAAGCTCTTTCCATAGTAACATGCTTCCCCGAAGTGGCCAAAGAAGTAAAACAAAAGAAAATTTAAAAGCTGAGGTGCTTCCTTTTTCATCTCAAATAAACAATCATTTTTATAAAGTTCACTCCTTTAAGGGAATTATTGCTGTAGCATGTATGTACCGTGTTTTTACATTTCTATAACAGATTTAAATTTAATTAATAGATTGTTAAATTTATACTGATAATAAAATATACTCTGCAAGTTTTTTCTCACAGCTTCCTCGCCTGCTTACCGCCACCTTACGAAAATCAAGTGAAAACGCACAACTTCATAAACTGTACGAGGTAGCACATGTGCCGTTCTGCATAATTTGTGACTTGAACAGCAAAGTAGCCTTTTTTCCCTAAGTTTTATTCTTCTCCTTCATTAAAACCTTTATTTATTATCTCCTCTGACAGTTCGGCATTCAGAACAGTGTGCTTTCTGTATCTCTGAGGCTACGTGGCTGTCAACATGGAGTTAATAGGACACGAAGGAACGCCCTTTGTCAGAATCTGGGTCGATGGCACTGCCCTTCCTCTACAGCCCTGTCCTTTGTCATCAGAGAGTGATCAATGGAACATAGGGCATGTTTTTCTTTAAGCTCTGCTTAATGATTCACTTGCAGTGTAAGTCCAGGAACAAGCACTATTAATACTTGATAGTATTTGTTTTCTTAAACCTAGCTCAGTCATCGCCTCTTTCGGAAAGCCTGTCCTCTCTCGACCTTGGGGGGACTTCTCATGGGGCACTCAGCTCACTGTGCTGTCACTGATCTGCACTGACATCCACCTGGCCTGGCTCTGCTGAAGGCAGATTCTGCTTTACTCCTGTTCACCCTAGTGTCTTGCACAGTAGCTGGCCCGTTGCAGACAGATTGACTATTTACCAAATCAAGTGATGGGATCCATGTGTGGTACCCTCTCTGAAATAGGTGGTATTATTTCTTCAGGAAATTTACCTGTAATGCCTGTTAAAACATTTTAATGGGAGATGTGCTGGTCCTGGGGTTAAATTAGTATTTTGAGCCTGGCAGGCAAGAAAGCAAAGGCTACTCATTCTCTTTGGTTCATGTCATTCTTTCTTTCCCTGGTTTCTTGGTTTGGGTCCCATGACTTAACTTTGACTCTCTCTGAGTGCTCCTATCTGCCTCTGGACCATGGGACATTCCCCAGGGCTCAGTCCTCTCTGTTCCTTTGTTTGTCATCTCTCTGAATTCTATGTACTCTATGCAAATCCCTAGCTTGGTCCTGATCTTTCACCCTTGTTTGGACGTTACCACTAGATTGGCAGACAGAAGACTCCCCTTGAATGTCCTGCTAATATTTCCCACTCAACCATCCAAAGCCAAAAATCATTAGATTCAAACACAGAGAGCACAGCACAGAGGAAAAAGAAGAAAAAAGAGAACCAGGCCAATAACCCACTAGATTGGCCTTATGAAGACAAAGCACTGTGGGTCTTGGAGAGAGCAATGTTGCTGGAATCATGGCACACAAGCCAACATGGTAGGGTCTCCAGCACCACTGCCTTTGGGAGCATTCCCCCCTCCCCCAACCTCCTGCATCTGCTACATGACCTTGGGTAAGTCACTCTGCTCTCTGGGACTCCGTTTCAATAAGTCAAGGTTGGATTAGATCAGCAGTTCTCAATCTTCAGTAATGTACCAGAATGCTTTGAAGAGCTTGTCGAAAATGCATATTCCCCTAGACATTCTGATTCAGGAGATCTGGGGCAGGCTAAAAAAATCAACATTTTCTACTCTAAGGGTGAGGGGATTTCCTGGACCAAAGATGCCTAAGTATTATATATAGGTGATCTTGCAGTTCCCTTCCAGCCCTGGCATTTCCCCAGTTTTCAGGGTGGAGGAGCAGAGGGTAGCCAGGAAGTGCTGACAGCCAGCCAGCTCTCTGTCCAAGTGTAGCCACAAAAGAAGCCAGATGGCAGGTGAAAGGAATGTTCATAGTATTTGCTATGTCACTCAGCACCTGTTTAATCAAACTGGTCGTGGGGAGACCTCAGTCCTAAGACAGCAGGCAGGGCCTGAGAACCTTTCTAAGTTTTCTCCCCATCTCAGACGGAATGAATCACTCCTCCTTTGCCTCATTCAGATGCTCCAAAAAGTCACAAACTAAAAATGTGTTTTGGCCCACAGTGATAAAATTTTATGAGTTTATGACATTTAAAAATGGGGAGATTTCATATTTAAAAATCCCAGATTTCCCTTAGAAAGATCAGCCACGTCGGACTCATACGGTCCTGGGACACGCGCTGGTGCTGAGCGGCTGCGCCCCCTTTGGGTGAAAGCATGCATTAGCGCTCCGCGTCGTCAGTGACATTGCCAAAGGGGATTTGGGAGGTGGCTCTCCTCACTGTAAAATTAACTCTGGGATAAGCCACAACAGCAGAGAACTGCTGCAGGTATCTGGACACTGCCTGCCCCTGAGGATTATAGAGTTGCCTGTAACCCCCGACCCTCCTCTTGGGGTGGAAATCTTAGAATATCTATGTATATACATATATACTAGACATATTAAAACATCAAATAATTTTATTCTTTTCTCATTTATATTACTAACAGTAGCCCAGTGTTAAGCATGTTAGAAAACATGAAAAAATAAAAACATTTTTGGTTTACACAAAGCATGTACAAAAATATCTACTCAGATAAACAAATATCTGATAATTACATTGCCCAGGTTTAAGAGTGTCAAAAATAAATAAAATACTGTAAACCAAACAAGAGGGTAGATGGTTTTGTTAAAATTCATTTTAACAACTTTAGCTAACTGACATGTGTTAATGAAATTCAAATTAAAGTGACAGCCAGATAATATGAGAGAAAACATTGTGTATGGCTACTTAGAGTAGAATAGAATCTGCTTCGTGCTTAGAATATAGCTGACCTTAGTTTCAACAGTAAGCAGCAGTAAAGATCAAGAAAATTCCCAACTTTTCTCATAACCGTTCTACAATAGCAAGAAAAACAAAATGAAAACAGTATCATCACCTCTGAACAACGGACATCAAAATCAGAATTGTAGGTTCACTAAGTGCTTGAATAAAAAATGTGAACACAGTAAAATTCTTGGTTAATTACCTTTGATTTTTTTAAAAGTCACAAAACATAAAATATTTGCTTGCCTATGCAATAACCCATAAGCAATAACCTGAACTATCTTTTCTTCATCAAGTACTTTAACAGTGCAAAATGTGAGTAGTTTCAGTGAACACTGCTCACCACATTTTGTCATTGCAGCCTGATGATGAACCATCTCAGGGAGGTATCACTGCCAAGGAAAATGCAAAGCAGAACAAAAAATCCAATGATTCATTTATATGCCAGAGTGTCAAAGGTAGACAGGCAGTTTCTTATACAGAAGGCGAAATATGCTCAAAGTGTCCACAAGCTAACACAAGATACAGTATTAAATCTTTTGACACAAAAACAAAGAATAATTATTTTGCTACTTTGAACAGTATTCGACATGGACAAGCAGATCTCGGTGTTCAGTGGCTGGATATTGTATATTGCACTTGGGACATTCCACCAGGCTTTCGTTGAGTGCAGCAGTGGGACTTTTTGGTGAGGCAACTTTTACTTTGTTTTCATTCTTTCCTTGGAAAGCAACTAATGGCTCTGTGAGGGCAAACTCATGAAGTTGCTTCTGCAAAATAAATTCTAAGTGAACACCATTTGTAAATACGGCCCATTGTACAGCAGTTTTAACTGTTTCAGATACTCTAGCTGTTTCAACCCTGCAGACAGATTTTCTTTTGAATCCCTGTTCACCAGTATTATGGTGGTAATATATGAGGTGTTTATGAATTACCCATATAATTACTGTAATTACCCAAATTACCTGGGAAGTCCTGGAGTTGGGTGTTTACATGGATAGGTTTTATTAAGATGCTTAGTGCCAAATGGAAGGTAGGTTTATGTGCAAAAGTTGACTAAATTTGCTAGTTTGGTAAAACAGGGGCAACTTCAGCAATAAAGAACGACATGGAAGTAAGGGCAGCAAAAGAATTTTAGCAGATCAAACAGGTTATACACAGAAATGACTAACATATTTTATAATACCTTTGTGACTTTCCTTTTTCATGTTTTTTTGTAAGAACTTAGTTAATAAAGCTCAGAAATGAGTGTAGTTTATTTATAGCACACTGTGAAGGTGGTGGACAGCAGGAACAAAGAAAAGCACAGGAAAATTACAAATTCTTTTACATACCCTCTGGCATCCTATGCTTTGAAAAAGTCAATAATAAAAATGAAATGTGCATTTTAATTTCAAATATTATAAATGGCCAAAATGACATACTGAAGAATAGAGCTGTGTGCTGTCAAAGAATCTGTGTAGCCGAAGCTGGATTTCTCCATAATATTCCATTATCCCTAAAAACAGCATTTCTTTCTTTTTTAATAGAAAAAGACAATTTCAGTTCTGGATTCTATGACTTCTCTCCCCCAGGCAGGCAATAAACAGAGGCACGGTTTATTGCCTCTAGAATCATAACTGGGGTAGGTGGGGAGATGATGCCAGACACCACTGATGTAATCATCACCAAGAGGTACATAATGTCCCTCTTTCTAGTGCTCTGAATTGATGCTCAAAGGGCAGTTGCTTCCAATGAGGCAGGGGTTCTGCCTACTGATTTGAGATATAGCTAGCTGTTCTTTAAGCTGTATCCTCCTAGTTTGGGAACTGACTTGATATATTATATAAATGGAAAGATGGCAGAAAGAGCAATTTTAGTTTAACCATTCAGGACTCACCAAGGATTCCAACTGTGTTATCTGACTTCTTGCTTTTCGGAGCTCCTTAAGGATTATATGCAACTGATGCTGCATATTTTGACGGTCAAGTTTTTCATTTTCAAAGTCTAAAGCACATGCCTGCATCTGGAAAATGTCCAGGATGAGACAATTACAGTTGTATATACTCTCTGGTTCTCTTGATTGGATGCTTACATTTTTTATTAGCACAAGAAGAAAACATGTGTTGTACCATCATAGTAAGAATTCATCTGAGCACTATGAGATGTTAATAAATGAAAAGGCTTCTGGCTGAGGATTTGGTTTATCCAAGGAGCAAAGCCAATGCTGAGGTACAGGTGAGTGAAGAGCAGCTTCGGAAGGTGCTGGTTAGATTTATTCCTCCCCATCCCTCTTTTTCAGAGAGGGAAGAGGGAGAAGGGAAAATGATGGCCATCCCTGGTTTGAAATATACTAAGAATCTCTGCCCTACATTCTGAAAATGAACGGTGTCTGTCTGTGTTCTGCCTGAAGGTATCAGGTAGCCCTATTAGGAGATCCTACTAGGCTAGAGTAGGAACTACAACCATTGGGGAAGAGCAAAATTTGCCAAGGCCTACATCTCCCTGTCAAGAAAAGTGCCATCATTTCTCAAAGAATCTGGTTTAGCCTAAGGACAATAACAGGAATATATAACTAGCACAGATATCTTTAAATATCTTTAAATATTTTGTGTTAAATTCTTTTAAAAACACTTTTCATAACTTTCAAATGGTTCTCCACAGAAGAGTGTAAACAGGAGGAAAAATTCCATTTTCTAACAGACTAAATTGAATGTAGAAGCAACCCCAAGGAGTACCTGTTGTTCCAACAGAGCTATCCGTGTTTGTTCCTCTTGCTGACTTAGCAGAGACGTGTAAAGAAACTGGACCTGCAGGATGTAAAGAGAGCCAACATTGTCACATCCAACCTTTTATGGCTTGACCCGGGAAGCATGAAAAGCTCACATCACAAGTGTCACATCTCTAACCAGGACAACATCTGCTAGTCAGGGGTGAACCGTTCCAGCTGGTCATTTGGTGGCTCTCTATGCTAGCGGCTGAGCAGTACCACCTGGCTGGGAGTCCCCGAGGCACACAGACACACGGCTGATAAACAGCACTGAACTTGGCAGAGGTCACACCCACTTTCCTAGAGACTTTCACATCTGCTGATATTTCTGAGTATAGTAACAAAGCTGGCAGTGCCTTGTCCTCTGATCCACAGAGTTGGAACAAAATTTAATTATTTCTGCTTAATCTTTCTCCAATATCACTGATCACACCCATAGACAGAAATGAGAGTGGTAATGACTAAGAAGGCAAATGTGACAGACTATTAACTGCCCCTGACAACACTCTCAACTTCTGGAGCATTTTATGAATTACTATAATTTTAGTAGCAGTAACTAACATTTACCTTGCTTAGCTTAGCACTTTTACATTCTCTCAATTGACCCTCACAAAAGCCCTACGAGGCAAGCAGAGGTTATTATTAATTGGACAAGAGAATAACCTGGGAGTCAGTGAAGTTAGGTGATTTGCCAAAGGCTACACATCCTGGACTGAGCATGGACCAGGCATGGACTCCAAACAGTGTTCTTTCCATTACTCCATTCTGCCAGGCCAAATCTAAATTAATGAGTTCTGTCAAAGTAGTATTCAATTCTAATAATTCTAACTTCATAACCCCAACATTACTAGAATAAAGTTGAGTATAAAGAGAACTTGGAAGGTGACATGTGAATTCACGTAAGCACAGTATTATTACAGTCAAGATGCTGGCCTAGGAATCAGCTTTGGTTCTTCTCATTACTTCTTGTTTTGGTTTCTCACATGGACCTGGCACCTTCTCACTCAGAATCTGTGGGTATGATTTCCTCTGCTGAGAGAATTCCCACGGAAAGTCACCCACCTCGCTGGATCCTTCCTGTCATCAGGACTTTGTCCAAATACCATCTCCTCAGAGAGGCCTCCACTGGCCCCCAATTTCCTTTCTCATACCACCATGTTGCATTTTCTTTAGTTTTACTTGTTTATTTAGGTACTTGTTTATGGTCAGTTTCCATTTGGAATATAAACTCCCACAAGGGGGCAGAAACTTATTTTGTTCTTTGCTGGTTCTCTAGTGGTTAAAATAGTCCCTGGCACTTAGTAAGTGTTCAATGAACACTTTGAGTGATGAGTCATGGACAACCTATTGGGTAAGCTTACCTGAGATAAGAGCTCTTCGGATCTCTTTTTCTCTTCTTCAAGTTTTCCCCGGGCAATATCATTTTCCTCCTTGAGTCTTTGTATTTTTTCTGTTTTATGCCTATCATCTTCCAGATGTTGTACATCTGCCCTTCTTTGCGAACACAACAGTTGATTTAAATCTTGAACTTCTTTTTGGGTTTCTTCATATTTTCTTCGAAATTCGCTAAGTTCAAAACTCAACTGAGTTACGGTTTGTCGTTCAACCTCGAGATCTTTTTTTGCATTTGCCAAGAGATGGGTGTAATATTTTTGCTTCTCTTCTTGAAGATAACCTGTGACAAACAACATTATGGCACAACTCATTTGATGAAGTTGGTAATACTCCTGAAAAGGGAAACATCAAATATGTTTTTCTGAATGAGGTCACACTATTTCCTCAGCTTACAACATGGAGAGTCAGAGACAGTCAGACTACAGTTGATATTTGATGGAATAAGAAATAGAAGTTCAGGGACATTATTTGAAGTTACAAAACTCTCAAATAGAAGAACTAAAAACAGTACTATAACTATTCTGCATAGAGGGAAAGCCACAAATGTCCAAAGAAGACAAACAGGGATATAAGCTCATTATTTACAGATATGAAGATAATTACCAAAATTAAAAATAGAAATATTAAGAGCAGCTGTGCTGATGGGAGGAGGAAACAGAGACTAGGATGGAAAAGGTGGGACATGGCCCTTTTGTACTATTATATTATTTTAACAAGTGTTTATATTATTCCGATAAAACAGAGAGAAAGAAAACTACATTACCAAAGAAAAAAACGAGACTTAGCCCATAACTAAAATTCTGCTTTTATGTGTAAGAAACATATAAAGGCACCATAGTGCTAACTTTGTCTTATTAGGGCTAAACAGCTTTGAACTGCCTCTTGAGACATTCCCTTTGTATTTTCTTTTTAGCATTAGTTTAATTTTAAATATTCAAATGTGACGCTCCAAGATTATGAGTCTTGTTCCCATTTCTTAGCCTCCTCTTTATATAATTCAAGGCTTTGGTCCCCTTCGGGCTATCACTCTTTTAAGGAGTGCTTAAGAGGCCCCCTCTTTTTTTCTTAGCTTGTCCTCTAGAATTGCTGAATCTATTTCTTCATCTGTAAAATGGGAATGATGACCTTTCCTGCCCCACTTCCTAGGGTTGCTGTGAAACTCCCTTGAAATCAACATCAGGGAAACTGCAAAGATCTTGACAAAAAGACAGCATCATGAAACTGTATCTCATTCTATAGTGAGGTTCAAATGATTGAAGAATCATCTATACAATGTATTCTTTCTCCCGGGATTGACAGAAATAAGTGCTAAAGGGAAGCAAAATAAAAAGAGAATTAGTGACAAGGCCAGCTCTGGGGGAAATAAAAGTTCGAGAATAACTTTGAAAGAGGGGAAGGACATTCATGGATGAAAAAAATTTAATGTGACTCCAGAGCTGGCAAAGATGACCCTTTAACCTGTGTCTTGTGCCCTCCTTTTATCTGAACATATCTGGAAATAAAACTTGCAAAAATGATATTTCTTACTTCAGTGCTAGAAGACTTGCTATTGTTTCACTTTCTAGCACATATCTGTAAAAATCTAAATTTGATGAATCACTCCTTTTGGAAAATGTCAGGCCTATGCCAAAAGAACATTTTTACACCAATCAGTACCTTCTGATTCAGTCTTTTTTGTCTGCTGTGGGAGTGAATGAGCAGCTGTTTCCGTTTTCTTTTCCAATTCAAAGATCTTTGCCAAAAGTCCTTTCACGTAGGCCTCTCGCTGCTGATCATATACCAGCCACTG